AAACAATAATCTTATATAATATTGTCTGTATTTTATGGCAAAATTTTACGTTATCTTGTTTATAGGAGTTAAGTGGCAAACGCGGCGAAAGATATTAACACCTACATTTCATTTTAATATATTGAATCAATTTGTCGACATCTTTATCAAAGAGGGCGATTGCATGACAAAATCTTTAAAAAATGTCGAAATATCGGTTGTAAAGGATTTATCATCCTTTATTAGTGAACATACGTTAAACGCGATATGCGGTAAGGGCTCTTATTGTATATTACATACAGGAAAGAATTTCATTTTAGATTATAGCTTAAAATAAGAATAGAATTTGTTCTTCTACATGAAGTATCTTTCAATATTATAAATAAAGATACATAATATCCTATATTTTATATTTAAAATTATTTACAAAATATTGAGTTGTGAATAATTTTCGATCATATATATATATATATATATATATATATATATATATATTTTATCTTTCGGTTTTATATAATAAATAAATTTGTAGAAACTGCCATGGGTGTCTCTCTGCAAAAACTTGGCGAGTTCCAAAAGCAGTATCGAAATGCCATTCACGAAATAAGTAAAGTGATGATGTATAGGTAATTTATATAATTATGTGATATTTATATAATTATTTGATATATTTATATCCTCCAACTTATGATTGTGATACATTTCCATATTACGAAAACATTACATATTTCGAAAAATAGATTAATGAATAATCATGTAAACATAGACCTGGTAAAGATGCAACTTCGTTTCACGCGTCGACAATTTGCAATCAAAATCTGTTATATGTGCCTCACTAAATGTTTCATTACAAAATTGTTTAGTAATCTCTACACCAATTCGTTTAAGCGGACAAGTTACAATAAAAATATACTCTTCGTACTTCACTATACGTTTTATTATAAGATAAATATTATTTGCAGTTTTTAATCTGTTAAAGTGTTAAAGAAATCTGTTAATCTGTTAAAGTGTTAAAGAATTTAAAATATTAGAATCTTGATAAATGAAGCAAAAATCAATTGTATAATAGAATCTAAGGAGAAATTGTCTTTAACCAAAAAATTTATAGCTAAAACAAAAGTACAATATTCTTAGAAGATTCTTTTTCATAAAACATACATAATTTTCAATTTTTCATATATTTTCTATATTTTATGACTATTTAAAGATTACTTTGATTTTATGATGCTTTTACAAATAACGTTTTAGGCTTTTACAAAATTATATTATTATTGGAATTATAGCTTTGTTAAATTACGAGACATCAGCTTCATATTACTTTATTGAATTATTGAAGCTATTATAGCGTTATTGAATTACAATTATATAACTTTTTTGAATTTAGAATATTCAGGCCTTGGTTCTACAATGATATGTTATTCTCATTGACGCCACAAGGAAGAAAGCAAAAAAAAATCTTGAAAATATTGCATGGATTTACGGAAAAAGTATGTAATAAAACACCTTCATATACTTCATACTTCATTTATATATAAAATTATATTGTTATTATTACAAAGATTATTAAAAATTAAATATTGTACCTATGTAGATTATTGCGGAAAGAAAGCTTTATCACCAACTTACTAACCATCAGTATTTAAAAAATCTTGAAAGTAATGAAGAATGTCGAAATATTTAAAAGTACGTAAGAAATGAGAGTTTTTAATTTAAGTTTCACAGTGCAATCAATATTATAAATTTTGCTTGTACCATTTATATTATACACATAAGTAGTGGTTTGCTGCAAAATTAAATCATTATTATTTGTAATAAAATTTAAATTTTAAACAAGAATTATATTATGAAATTAACGCAATATGCAAAAGTGAAATTGTCATCACCCTGCTTTGTTTCTAGTTAAAAAAAAGCGGTTAGCCATGTTGGACCTTTTAATAGCGGCATCTCAAGAAAATTCTTTAACTGATTTGGACATCAGAGAGGAAGTCGATACTTTTATGTTCGAAGTATGTATGTCTAATTTTAAAAAAATTTTTTTTAATTATTTAATTTTTTGGACATGATATCTAAGTACGAATAACAATATGATATGCATATAATTACAGGGTCATGATACTACAGCGGCAGGTATAATGTATACTTTACTACTATTAGCTGAACACAGAGATATCCAGGTATTTATTTCTCGCAATATATTATAATACATAATAATTGTTTAAATTATGATTTTTACTTAAAATTATACTGATATCAGATTATTGCGATATGTTTTTTCTATATATATATACATATATATCCACAGAGATTAAAACATATCTAAATATTCTTAATTAAATATTCTATTACGTTTTTTATTAAAAATTTATTCATATCCATGAACACACATAGAAACCACAAAAAAAATATGTTTTAATTATTATAATACAGGAGCGAGTGAGAATTGAAATCGATAATGTAATGCAAGAAAACGAAGGAAAACTTAACATGAGTTCATTGCAAAATTTATCATATTTAGAAAGATGTATAAAAGAAGCGTTACGTTTGTATCCTAGCGTGTTTTTCATATTCCGACACCCTGGGGAAGATGTAAAATTACGTAATTATTTATTTAGTCACTTTTTGTTGTATATATTTTTGAACATGTTACATATAACACATATAATACGACGTGTATATTATTGAATGTAAAATAATTAATTAGTATTTTAAGAATACAATATATTTTATTTTATTTTTCTCAACAAATTCTTATTTTCGTAAATTTTAATATTTTTTAATCTTATAATATGCTTTTTTTAGAATCATATATCGTACCCTCTGGGACGATCTTATATCTTAATATCTACGGAGTTCACAGAGATCCCAATTTTTGGCCGAATCCAGAAGTATTTGATCCGGATAGATTCTTGCCCGAGAGGATACAGAGCCGTCATCCTTATTGTTATATACCATTCAGCGCAGGATCGAGAAATTGCATAGGTAAATTAACCACAATTTTGTTTATCCTCATTTGTCGATCGATTTTAATAAATTTTGTATTGTAGGTCAACGGTTCGGTATGCTGGAGATGAAAGCTCTAATAGCTCCTTTGGTGTATAATTTTTACTTGGAACCTATTGATTATTTAAAAGATATCCAATTAAAATTCGATCTCATACTTCGTCCTTCTCATCCAGTTCATCTTAAATTCATTCCGATCAAATGCAAATAGTCATTTAAAACTAATGTTAATACCATATGAATATAAGAAGTTTCAATCAAATGAATATAAGAAGTTGTTCTTTGTCATGAATCTTATTCATGTAGTGAAAACATTACTTGCAAACAAAAATAAAGCTGAATCTAATATAAGTTATTGAAATTAGGAAAATACCGAAGAAAAAAAAAATATATATATATATATCATAAAAATAAACTTAATTGAGGTGCAAAACCTAAAATTTTCTGCTAATTATCATATAGTTATAACTCTATTTTAATTATAGTTATAGCTATAGCTACAGTTATAGTTATATTATAAAGTATTTATCGCGATTGTAACAGCAGATTAACCAAAATATTAATGTACAATATATAAACATTTATTATACAAAATTTTTTTATGTAATAAAATTAAAAATATATTATTATAGGGAAGTTTTTTCGTGCAAAAATAATTTAAACTTTTTAATAAAGAATTTAATTGTATATTCTTTTATTCAGCCAATTCTACGGAAAGCCATTTTTCATTAAGTTAATCCGGAATTCTTTCGCTGAGTGGAAATAAAAAAATTATATATAATACATAATATATAAAAAATTTCTCCTTTTATTAACATTTTTTCTTATTAACATTCTTTTATTAATATTCTTTTAGTCAAAATGTTTTATCTTATAAAGTGATTTAATAAGTTATTTAATAAATGATTGTATATATTTTATGTTTTATTTTACTCCTTTTTATTAATTCTTATGTTATTTTTATGATATCTGTCTTCTTATGAATCCTATATCCTATATCCTATATCCTATATCCTATATCCCTTTTCTCATATTTTATTAGTTTCACATTTATATCCTTATTATATAATCTTATTATATTTTAATATTTCAAAAACATATTAAATCAAAAGGATAAAATTTTATAATGCTTATGTACCTCTGTTTATTCTCAAGTCAATTTCTAAAAGTGATAACATTATTTTTGTAAACAAAAAAGCATTACGCAATAAAGTACATACTTCAGCAACATTCTCTAGCATAACAATTTTTTAAATAATTCTTTTATCAACTATATCTTATTATCATGTTTTGTTTTCAACTGTCAAGTTTTTATGATCTTTTTTTAACGACATAGATTAATCGACTGAATAGATTAACGATATATAAATGCAAAATTTATATTTAGCAAACTAACATTTTTCTATGCTCTTTTCTGATATTCTGCTATCTTATTGGTGCTATGTTGCTATGTTGCTATGTTGCTATGTTGCTTGTTTATAATATAATGATTATCGAAATTACTTATTTCATTTTATTCTAACTGAAACAAAAGATGATAATAAAACAAGTCTGTTGATTATAGACAAAAGCTGTACAAATCGATATTTTATTGTTCTCATTTCTCATTGCATCGAATTCTAATATATTCGATCTAGTAAAAGTTAACAATTTGTTGCAGAAAAAAAAGAAATAAGGCTTCTCATAAAGAGAGTAACATAAATGTCATCCTCTGATTTTTATAAGATTTGAATGTGTTAAATATTCGAATAACAAAAATAATCGATATTTTAAATCAAAATAATTTGAACATTGAATCTTGAGTTTTCCAAAAATTCAATCCTTGTCAAGCCATTTTTTTATCAAAATTTTTTATCAAACAACTTTTTATTTCTTTCGTATAAATACGAAAAAAATGTCACGTAGTCATTAATCAAAGTGGCATTATTCAGCCGTTTGGCACTCAAGAAAGCTGATTACGGATTTGAATTAAGAGGCTATAAATACAGGCCTCAGATTTTCATTATCAGTTCACGCAGAGATTTCCACTGGCCTATATATCTGCTTGATGAAAGTTGCAATTCCATTTAAATCACTTGAGTTATGTATCGATTGATCATCGTATCAAAATATCTATCAGGTAATCTTTATAATATTTGCATAAAATACAATTTTATAATGTTCTATTGCAAAATTCCAATGTTTAATACAATTTTTTCAAACTATAAGCTATTTGATTGCTATAATTTTAATAAATTATTATAATATAGTATAATATTTCTCATATTATTATCTTATTAAATGTACATTATATTAATCTTGTAGACATGTTTGATGCAATAATTATGATATACAAAATCAATAAACAATATTTAAATAAAAAAAGAATAAACGTTTTTAAGAAATCGAGAAAATTATATAATTTATTTCTTACTATATGTGAGAATATTATTAGGTTTTAGGTTATTAGGTTTTATTAGGTAACAATGTAGGAAGAAAACAAAAAAAAATTTTTTTAATAATTCTTTGTTTATGATAGAATTTGTTAAATAGCTCCGGTTTATTACAAAGTCACTCACGTATTATTACAATATAAAAGTATATTTATTGATTTAAGATACGTGCGTATTTGTAAGTACAGTAATGAATTGTAATTGTGTATTATGATATGATCGCTTATGAATTCTTTATATTTCTTTACAATTAAAGAATAAACAAAATTATAACACTGTTAAAAACAATTTATATTGTTTATAAAGATGTAAGAATAACACTCGCGCAAATTGTACTACTATTAAAGACAATTAAGATTTTACAATAGGATTTTATAAAATTTTATGTTATACAATATAAAAATAGAGAAAACATTTGCAAACAATGGTTAATTAAAAAATTTTTACTCGACTGATTAATTTAATATATAAATAATGTTTTTTTCCCTTTACCCGGAATAAACTTATCATATTTTTTACAGCTCATTAAAATTATTAACTATCAAAAATATAAGATTAATGCAGATTAGAATGATTGTTATTTATATATTCTCTATTTCAGCATCTTTCTTTGTTTAGGATTATTTAGGATATCAAAGTAAATGTTTAATTGTCAATTTTATTGAACAAATATCATTTATTTTGTGACATGTGTGATCCAACATTAAAAAAGGAATAAACATAAAAAAGTTAAACTCAAATAAACGACCGAGAACATCAGAACGAAAGAAACAATGTTCATTATTATATTGATATTATTCATATTTATTTTATTGATTTATAATTACTACGTGCATTATGAAAGGAACAATCGACTTCTTAATCTTATACCGGGACCATCGGGCTATCCAATTATTGGCAATGCACTCCAATGCTATGTGTCAGTAGGTAAATACAAAATTTGTAATATATTTACATTAATTGACTTATCATTAATACAAATAAAAATTTATAAATCATTTATTCTGGAACATATAGATATTTATCAAATTATTATATATAGATTATTTATTTGAGCACTTCTTTTTGCAATAATAATTTGCAATCTATTATTCTTATCTTTATTATTATTTATTCTTACCTTTATTATTTATTTGTTTTTAAAGTATTTGAATGAAGATACATCAATATTGAAAATTAATCGTATAAAAATATTTTTGGCTGTATTAATATTTATAATATAATTTTCAGAGGAACTATGGAAGCTGGCCTGTACATTAATGAATGAATATTATCCCTTTTTTAAATTTGGAGGTTTCTTTGTATATGGAGTATGTATCAGTCATCCAGATGATTTAGAGGTAATAAAAGAAATTTAATATTTTATACACATTACGATTAAATTAGATTTAAATTTTACAATTGGCAAACAGATTTTTGTAGATAAGAAACGTTTTTTTTAAAAAAATGAAGAGACAAAGTGAAACTCCATCGAGATTAGATTAAATTAGAGAAGTACAATTAATAAATTATTAGTATATTTACGATTAAGTGATATAATAAATAGATAATATATACTTCTTTCTATCTCCGGTGATTTCAGACGATTCTAAGCAGCACTAAGTACATCGAGAAAGGTCGTTTGTATAACTTATTACATCCCTGGTTAAACACAGGTCTCCTCACTAGCAAAGGTAATAACATAATAACATTAATATATAAGTATATACTTTTCTATTGCGGCTTGTTGCCGATGTGCCCTCATCATAGGAAATTAAATAAAAATTACAATTAGATTTAAAATATCATTTTACACGATAAATTTATACACACAACTTTCTTATTGTGAAAACTAATAAATTTAAAAGTAAATTGGAAGTGAGATATTGAAGAATAATTTTGCTATGACGCATGTATTTCAAATAAAAGTAACAGAGAGATATTTTAGTTAAGTCAAACATCATCACTAATAAATTATCCTTAATATAATAAACTTATTAATTAAATCAAATTTCTATTTGCTAATTCATAAACATTTAATTACAAAGTAAAACTTACTCTTACCGTAAAAATTCCATAGAAAAAGGTTTATAGAAGGAATTTTAAAGATACAAGAAAAATAAATATAAAAAAAAATAATGTGTTGTTTAAGAATTGTTCACTAAACATTAAACTAAGAGAGACAATAATCTTATATAATACTGTCTGTATTTTATGGCAAAATTTTACGTTATCTTGTTTATAGGAGTTAAGTGGCAAACGCGGCGAAAGATATTAACACCTACATTTCATTTTAATATATTGAATCAATTTGTCGACATCTTTATCAAAGAGGGCGATTGCATGACAAAATCTTTAAAAAATGTCGAAATATCGGTTGTAAAGGATTTATCATCCTTTATTAGTGAGCATACGTTAAACGCGATATGCGGTAAGGACTCTTATTGTATATTATGTACGGGAAAGGATTTAATTCTGGATTATAGCTTAAAATAAGAATAGAATTTGTTCTTCTATACGAAGTATCTCTCAATACTACAAATAAAGATACATAATATCCAATATTTTACATTTAAAGCTCTTTTTACAATTCAGTTATTAATATTTTCGATCATTCACTTTTGAATCTTATATAATAAATAAATTTGTAGAAACTGCCATGGGCGTCTCTCTGCAAAAACTTGGCGAGTTCCAAAAGCAATATCGAAATGCGATTAATGAAATAGTTGAATTGATGATTTACAGGTAATTCATGCATATGGTATACAATTATGTGATATATTTGTGACATATAACCTATAACATGATTATAATACACCTATAACATGATTATAATACATCTATATTTTGAAAAAAAATTAATGCATAATCATGTAAAGATGGACTTCGTAAAAAACGTCACTTCGTAAAAAACGTCACTTCGTTTCACGCGTCGGCAATTTGCAATCAAAATCTATTATATGTGTCTCACTGAATGTTTTATTATAAAATTGTTTATAATCTATAAAATATTAAAAATATCAGATTAAAAATTAAAAGAAAATTGAATCGTGTGAAAATTTGTAAACAAATTTGTAAAAAAATTGTCTTTGATCAAAAGAATCTATAGCTAAAATAAAATAAAGTGTTTTTAGAAAATTTTACTTTTTCGTAATATAGTTTTAAATTTGTATACATCTTTTACAATCTATAGTTATTTAAAAATTACTCTAACTTCATAGTTTTAAATAACGCTTTTACAAAATAATGTTAAAGTACATACATTTATTGAATTTTGATTTAGAACAATAAGGGCTTGGTAACGATTTATTATTCTCATTGTCATCACAAGGAAGAAGGCAAAAGAATATAATAGAATATAATAGAATATAATAGAATTGTTGGTTTATAGGTAATTTATATATTAATTGATATACAATAAATCTATATAATGCGTGATATAATGTGATGTATCTAGGATTTTTTAAGTAATGATTATTATTACGATATATATATATATATATATATTATAATATATATATATATTTATATATTTATATATTTATATTTTTTGAAAATAGGTCAATTAATGAATAATCATAAGAAGATAAACAATTAATATAAGACAGCAATTCGTTTAAGCGGAGTGGCAATAAAAATATATACAAGTTGTAATAAAAATATACTCTTCGTGCTCCACTATGCGTTTTATTATAAGATAAATATTATTTGCAGTTTTTAATCTGTTAAAGTGTTAAAGAAATCTGTTAATCTGTTAAAGTGTTAAAGAAAAGAATTTAAAATATTAGAATCTTGATAAATGAAGCAAAAATCAATTGTATAATAGAATCTAAGGAGAAATTGTCTTTGACCAAAAAATTTGTAGCTAAAACAAAAGCACAATATTCTTAGTAGAGAATTCTTTTCATAAAACATACATAATTTTCAATTTTTGATTTATATTCTATATTTTATGACCATTTAAGGATTACTTTCATTTTATGATGCTTTTACAAATAACGTTTTAGGTTTTTACAAAAATTATATTATTACTGAAATTATAGCTTTGTTGAATTACAAGCTAAAGCTTTATTAAATTAGTGAATTATTGAAGCTATTATCGCTTTATTGAATTACAATTATATAACTTTATTGAATTTAGAGCAGTGAAGCCTTGGTTCTACAACGATATGTTATTCTCATTGAACGCCACAAGGAAGAAAGCAAAAGAAAGTCTTGAAAATATTGCATGGATTTACGGAAAAAGTACGTAATAAAACACCTTCATATACTTCATATTTCATTTTTATATAAATTATATTGATATTAATACAAAAGATTTTTAAAAATTAAATATTGTACCTATGTAGATTATTGCGGAAAGAAAGCTTTATCACCAACTTACTAACCATCAATATTTAAAAAATCTTGAAAATAATGAGGAAACAGAAGATGTCGAAATATTTAAAATACGTAAGAGATGATTTTTAATTTAAGTTTCACAGTGCAATCAATATTATAAATTATGCTTGTACCATTTATATTATACACATAATCACTCGTAGTGGTTTGCTGCAAAATTAAATCATATAATTTTTGTAATAGCATTAAAAAAATTTTAAACAAGAATTATACTATGAAATTAACGCAATATGCAAAAGTGAAATTGTTATCACGATTTGTTTCTAGTTAAAAAAAAGGTTAGCCATGTTGGACCTTTTAATAGCGGCATCTCAAGAAAATTCTTTAACTGATTTTGGACATCAGAGAGGAAGTCGATACTTTTATGTTTCGAAGTATGTATGTCTAAATTTTAAAAAAAATTATTTTTTTAATATTTAATATTTTATGGACATGAATTTAAAGTATAGAAATAACAAATAATGAATATGCATAAATTACAGGGTCATTGATACTAACAAAAAAAGAGCACAAAGGTATAATGTATACTTACTAATATTAGCTGAAACACTATAAAAAGAGATAATCCAGAAGTATTTATTGTCATCGCAATATATTATAATACATAAATAATTGTTTAAATTATGATTTTTACTTAAAATTAAATACTGATATCAGATTGCGATAATGTTTTTTCTTATATAATATTTGATATAATATATATATATATATATACTATATAAAATAATATCTCACAGAGATTAAACAATACTAAAATTATTCTTTAATTAAATATTCTATTTATGTTTTTTATAAAAAATTTTATTCAAAATATCCCTGAACACACCATAGGAAACACCACCACAAAAATAATGTATTATTAATTATTATAAAATACAAGGAGCGAGTGTAAGGAAATTGAAAATCGATTAATGGTAATAGCAAAGAAAACGAAAGAAACTTAACATGAGATTCAATATGCCAAAATTTATCATATTTAGAAAAAGATGTATAAAAGAAGCGTTACGTTTGTATATCAACTAGCGTGTATTTATATAATACGAAACCCTGGGAAGATGTAAAAATTACGTAAAATTATTTATATTTAGTCACTTTTTTGTTGTATATAATTTTTGAAACATGTTACATATAAA